TTTTTTTTTTTTTTTTTTTATGGGGGTAGAATTCAGGACCTTGCATTTGTGAGGCAGGTGGCATCACCGAGTTAAATCCCTGGCCTTTAAGTATAACTTAACCGATAGCAGTAGCATTTTTTCAGGGACTCACTCTTGATAAATGTAGCCTAAGTACTTGTTAATTTATTGGTCTATAGCTTGTATTCAATCTGGTGTCAAAATTGTAGATAGCAACTTTTTATATATGCAGATCATAGCTTAAAACTCTATGGCTTTAATAGTATTTTGTATACCACTAGAGAAGCTTGTTCTGTATTTCACTGGAATCTTAAAATGAATTTTAATAAAATATTGGTACCTAAGCAGAATTTTAAAAGTGAATAAAATAATGGCTGTTTATACTTCAATGAACTACTGCCCCTGAATGTGCCTACTTATTGTTTCTGTTAATTTACTAGATAAGAGGGTTTTCTAGTAAGCTTTGTGTACATTAATCAAAATTAGGATGGATGTATATAATTTTTTTATTTTCACTGGTTTTAAATAGCGATATTAGTATTATGTAGCATATATATATACATATATATATTTATAGATTATCTAGAAGTCTTAAAGTATGTTTGTGATTCTATTGATATCTAAGACAAATACATTTTCTCTTTGGAGAAATTATTTGAGGATATTTGTGGCTTCTGACAAAAGTCTTGACCAAATATCGATGGTAAAATAAGAAGTACTATGTACATTTGAAAACAATTTCCTACACATTATCTTCATTCTTCTAAATCATTACAATCTGGCTCACAGTAATCATCCAATATATTTAAGAGCAATAAATTATTTTAATATATTATTATACCAAATCTATGTAAAAAGAGAAAGCTAAGGTTCAGATGGGTTGAAACACTTCCACTTCTCAGGGTCCAAATTGTGGTACTTTGCTCAGTTGAATTTGTCATTAGTTTGAAATTTCATACATATTAACCTAATGTGGTGAAATACCAGATTTATAAAACCAATTAATCAAATTCTAATGTGGAGAATTTCAATATTTAATTGATAAAAACACTTTCTATAATACTGTTCTTAAAGATTTAATATAACTTGTCCTATTTTTTCTAAGAAGTCTTTTTCATTGTATAATCTGATTACAGAAAAGAAAAACTCAGAATCAATTAATTGATACCAAAATTTTGATTCGTAGTTTTCAAATAACACTTGCCAAATGTTTGATGCTTCCATTGCAGGGACTTGCTGATATCTATGACTAATATGGGCTTACACTTCAGTGTAAAGTTAACTGTCAGCCCAGAATCCACCAACATCCCTCTCTGCTTTATTAAATTCAGACATGCTTTATTAAATTTAGAGCATTTGAATACACAGTGTATAAAGAGTAGTTGTTCACAGATCGTGGAAAAATCTGGTATGTTTCAGTTACCTCCCAGTGATTAAGAAGAACAAAGTGAGGATGACGAGGAGAGTGAATCCCCCAACGGCTGCAGTGGCTATCACGAGAATCTGCCCTTGTTCTGCCGCCATGTCAGAAGCTGAAACACAGACGTCGTATTAAAATTTCCCCGGTGACATTTTGCTGCCCAATTTATGTTACAACATAGGGAAAACAAAAACCCAACATATTTGGCCTTTATTTCAGTACTTGGTACATAGGATGCTAACCTAAAATAAATACGCTCTGTGTAATAACTGCAGTTATGCACAATATAAACCTTTCTTTCTTACAAAAATATAAGAAACAGAATCTTGATACCTTACACTTTAAGATTATGTGTTGCAAAATGAAATTAGCAAATAGACTAACAGACTTTGTTTTACATAATTGCTCATTATACTTCCTCTGAAACAACTTGGCCAATAAAAAAAACTTTACAGTTTGGTGTCTGTTAAGAATGATTTTCCATAGATTTCAGTGAACTAAATTCAAACATTAAAGTTCCAAATTCTCAGCTACACAGCAGGACAGATATAGCAGGTGCTTAGATATTAAGCAGTAATATGAAAAATGACATTTTTAAAGCTTCAGCTTTTTAGAAAGAAAAGGCCAGATAACATGAAAACAACACATTACATTGTTCATTGACTAATTGTGTGTGTGTTTGTGTATATATGTGTGTGTGTGTGTGAATATATATACATATATATATATATATATGTGTGTGTGTGTGTGTGTGTGTATGTGTGTGTATATATATATATGGAGATCAAAGATAAAGCTCAGGACATAGTACATGCTATGCAAAAAAAAAAAAAGTATCAAATCTTCAATAGCTGCACATTTCACTAATCTTCCAAGAATTTAAAAAACTATATGAATTAATTTAAGTTATTAGTATTTCTTGATTTCTGCATTGCTAAATCTTTAATGAGATATAATTTTTATTGGCTAGAATGAAAATTGATTCAGAACACAGGTAAGGGAACAGAAGAACAGAGAAGTTGAAGAACTTGCTCACGATCTAGAACCAAAATTTTGCTTTATTTTCTCTTTTTATACTGTAGCTCATAATAATAGCTTAATGCCAATATTCTATAATATTAAATCACTAAGATCTTTTAATACCTCTTAAGTTGAACAAAGCCTATATTAAAGTTCTGATTGCTATAGAACAGTGATGGCAAACTTTTCAGAGCTTTCAGTGATATAAACAGCCCACTGTAGCAGTGTGTGCTCTAGCTTTGCCAGAACTGCTACAGATAACATCCATTGACTCATTAAGCAGAGAGAAAACTGAATCAAAGAAAATAGTCTGCCCAAAAATGTACACATCAGGAAAAAAATTGTATAAATATTTTAATATTAAAAGTATTACCATGAGATAAGTTGAAGTTTCCTTTGACTTCTACAATTGCAAGAGGTAATCAAAGTGGTGACCATTAATTTCCAGACATTTATTAGTACAACAAAGTGCTGAAGTGCAAATATAAGTTTTTGTTGTACTCTGCATATACCCAAAAACCAAACCATATAATTTTGTGCCATAAAATTTATTAAACTTATGTATTTTAAGGCTTCCATAGAAACAGGTCTTTTTCTGGGAATTAGGTATGTACTATTTAAGTACATATGTACTACATAATTGTTAAGAATGCAGTGCTATCTGTAAATATATACCCAGAACAATAAATAACATTCTCATGAAAATGACACATCTACTAGAAAATATATGAACCTTAAATGAATTGATTTTTGAGTCAGTAGGAAATCAGTCACAGCAAAGAGACTTAAAAAAACTTAAATGTAAATAAAAACAAATCATTTTCAGTAAAAGAAATGTATTAAACCTTGGAATTACATTTTTGTCACTATGATTTAATCAAGATATTTTCAGGCAGTCTATTACAGTGTTGAGTTTTAGCTTATATTCTATGCAGAGACAAGTTTAAATAGCTGCATCTTATCCAATCAGTAATGTACTGATCCTCTTTTATTAGGTTGTAACTGAATTTCCTAGTCTTCAAAATAGCACTGATATCTTGGGAATTAATGCTATGCTAAAAAAAATGTAATATTTTCTCATTGAAGATTATTAAATAACAAATTCTGAAAAACTGATGCTATAAAAAACATTATTAAAATTTGAAGATTAGAAGATGGCATTTAAAAAAGAAGACATTGTTTACATAACAACTTTTATGTTTATAAAATATATAATATAGTCCAACAGTTTTACACCTGGAACATGCATTTTCACAGTAGTTAGGTAGCTAGTAATGTATTGAGACCATATATTCAAAGTGCATGTGGGAAATAAGATTATATAATTCAGTGCCCTTCGAAAATCATAATACATTTTTATAGAAAATTTTGTTGCCTTCAAAAATTATTACACTGTTGCTTTTAGTAATGTCTTCTTTCACACAAATTAACCTTTCTTTAAAATTTTAATTGGACAAGTAAATATTAAATTGTGACATTTTTGAAAAGTATACATTTCTATATAATTGTTTCTTAGATTTATATACTAAAGATGCTAAATACTCCTGTGAGAGAAAAAAGCATACAAATAACTGGTCAATTGAAAATGAGACTATTTAATGACATACCCATGATGCGGCCGGAAGGATTGGAAAAATATCAAGAATATCATCATCTTTATCAACAACTTCCATGATTTATTTAATTGTAAACTATATTCCTAGCACAATTCATAGAGCTCGAAATTCATTATCAGAAGGGTTTGGCATATAGATGCTATCACTCCTAGCGTAAAGGTCTACATCACTCACCTAAGTCCACACATATTGCACACGGAAAGCTGGCAATTTGACTCTGACTTCCCTTTCTCTAAGACCATGCTATTGGCTGGATTTGAGTCACCACTCAATCTTTTTACACTCAGATCTTTAGTTCTCCTAGCACAGTCATAGCCTTATATGACCTTGCTTTTGTATCAGCAATGTATGAATGTTGAACTAAATAGTCTTCTCATCATTTAGAGTAATTTTATTATGCTACTGGCCACAAGATTTGGAAGGAGTAGGATTTCCCACATGAAAATAAGGGAGACACCCAGGACCTATGCTGCAGCCCTTGGTCCTGATGGATATCTGCCTTCATCATGTTAGTATTTGTCCCTCACAGAGCTCTGACTTTACCTCACAGTGAACTCCAGCATCCTTCACTTTGTTAATAAGGTTATCTACAAATGCTTCTCCCATATGCGTCCTGTCCTATCACATCATTCTGTAACCACACTGAATTTTTTTTAGTACTTTGACTGAGCCAAACTTTCTCTAATGGTCAATTCCTCTTTAATCCTCCTTTATGAGTGTAATACCATCTAGAAACTTCATTTCTAGATGTTTATTGGGTTAGGTCACCATACTGATATTCCCATAGACCTTTTAATTATTTCTACAGAAGAAGGCAATCACAGTTTATTGAAAGTACTTTTTTTAAGTTCTTGAAAGTATTTTACTTCAGATTGAAAAATGAACAGCTTTCACATTGTTCACTGTAAGATACACAGTATTCATGAATACAATGCTGGTCATTTGAGGACATGCTGTATACTCACCTCAATTTCTGCTTCATGCTTTTTCTTTTAGAAAGATACTGTTTACCAGAAAGAAACTTCAGCAGTACAGGAAAAACTATTTTCCCAATAAATTTGCAAAAATCTAAGATTCCCAATGGAATCAAGATTATGTTCCCAACACCACCACCTTAATATACTCACATGCTTATTGGAACTAATATTCACACCCTAAGAGTACATTTACTTTCAACAATAAGGGTGATTCTTTAAAAACAAAAACTTCAGCGTGGTAAATGTAACATGGATCTCTGCAAGTATTAAGTGTCTGAAACGGGCAGCTAATACTGGATTTAATGTTATTTTATAAATAATTGTTCCCTTAGGAGTAAACATAAATCTACACATTCACAATAGTCCTACAAAATAAATACTGTTATTATGCACAATATGTTATGACAAACTAGTTTCAAAAAACAAAAGCTCAATATCTTGGTAAAAATTCTGATCAGAATAAAATGTGACTTTAAAATTTAAAACATCATCAAAATAAAATCACATTTAAAATCATCCACGCTTTACACAAGTACTATGGGTTTCCAGTTTTGGAACATAAATTTCCATTGTAAATTAAAATATGAACATATTAAAAATTGTTAATTTCAGTGATGACATCAGTTTTGGTCTTACTTTAACATTATTTTCTTTTATAACATCTTGCACTATGTGTCCATTAAGCTCTTTTGTTTCACATCAATGTATGTGGCTATGTTAAATGCGGCCATTTCTTAGATGAGATTCATATATATACATGCAAACACACATATAATACTATTGGCTTTTAGGGGTTTCCTTTATATACATTTATGAAATATCAAAGACAAATCAGACTACTAATGGACACATAGTACTTTTTTTTAATAACCTGTCTCTTCTGCTGGAATTCAAATTCCATTAGGGGAGGACATGTATTCATTGTGTTGTCTATAGTGAGTTGAATGGTGATATTCACTCTCCATTCCCTCAAAACAGGGAATTTACACATGTAAATTAAAATCTCAGACATGCTGGATTATACACTTGGTCCTAAATCCAAGCATATTTATAAGACAAAGAGGAGAAGACCATGTGAAGGCAGAGGCAAAGATTGGTCTCACGGAGTCAAAAGTTGAAGAATGTCTGGAGACACGAGAAACTGAAAGAGACAAGGAAGGATTCTCCCTCCCTTAGAACCTTTGAAGGGAGCATGTTCTGGCCTTCAAAACTGTTCCATTGTTTATTCCACCTAGTTTGTCATAATTTGCTACAATAATCCTAACAAACTAATATAGTGTCTGGCCTATGGGGCTTGATACAAGGTACAATCTTAATAAATATTTCTTTAAGTGAATGAACTAGATAGTTATTTGCACTGGATGATTTTGGTAAGAAAAAGCTAGATCATTGTAAGAGTAATCTACATCCCTATCTTTCCCTTAATATGAGGAAAATTTCCTCAAATGTAGCAATGAAAATGAAGAGAGTGTATATAACATTAATCAGAAGAATTCACT